TACATCGATCAAGTTTTGCAGTTTGACCTAAATTTGCATACACACTTTCACACACAAACGGAGTCATGCTATCATACGCGAGAAGATGGCCTCGTCGATCAATAGCGAAGTCGAATAAGTATCCTGACGACATTTCATTCCAAGATTATAAACCTAAAATATCATGCATGAAAAAGAAATCATCAGATATAAAAACGAATTACACAGCAAAAAGCTCATGTTCGTTGCCTCCATATAGGCAATCTGATGTCACTGTAGGTGAAGATTTTGGGAGAAGCAGGAGTTCACAACGTGCTACATGCTCCATGGACATCCGTATTCATCATCAATATTCACTTTCAAGACAACTTACTTGCATAGGACACCAAGCAAACGTTAGAGCTCGATGTTAAGTGGACGGACCACAAAGATCATCGCAAGATCCGGCAACTTAAGCATTCCCCATGTGAAAATCGCAACCTACTTTTGCACGCAAACCCACATGATAAATCATGCGAGATCGCACGTTCTTGGTCCCCCTTCCCGTTCAAACCTACCCAGAACGTGATCGAGCTTACCGACAGGGCGACAACCAAATTCTCGAGTCGGTACGTAACTCAAGCTGGTCAGTTTTCGAGTCACTTCAGTCTGGACCTTTGACGAACGAGTCTGGTTTCACATTCAGATCGTTTCCCTTGGGGATTCAGGAAGTCAAAGAGAAAAGTGATGCTTTGCGATGTTCGAGGTGTGAAATGGGCACGAGGGATACATTTCAAAGCATATTCGCGAGTCCTTTTCCCCGAACATTGAAAACGTTTGCTGACTAAACTGTGGCTTCGACCGAGTCGGTCACACTAAACTTGAGAACAGGCGTGACTACGTACTCTATGTGTGATTCTAGAAAACCAGACATGTATGTAGACGCTCGAGTCCAAATGATGCCTCGCGAAAATTGGAGATGCATGGGGCGAATGCTGTTCGATTTTTTATGACAGGGCGGGTTGAGGCCATCGACCCATGACACCCCCCGCTTATGCCCGTTGTGAGTGTTCCGATGCTCGATGCGGATTAACGAGCCCTGTTCGGCAAGGTTTTCCGAGGAGAAGCGGTGGTCGTGAAAAAGGGGTGCTGATATATATACAAGGCAATTGACGATCTGTCCATCATAACTGCAATGCATTTACGGTCTTAGCAGCTTACAATTAAGTTTTGGAGATTCGCTCCGCTCATCTTCGGGGTTTTAAAACTTCAAAGAATGTAGTACATATCACACAACTTGTAATGCAGCATAGCCATGGTTATGTCGAACAAGCATGAGGTCCGATCATTGGTTGGCTTCAAATTATCCCGTTACATCGAGTGAGATGTGGCGAGACAATTCAACCTCATAAAAGCTGTGAACTCATTGCAAAGGAGGATCGAGTGCCAAATCAAGTACCCACGCAACAAAACTTTAGGTTGCTAAGACATTGTTTTTAAAAGACGAGGGAATAGTGAGCAAGAAGCAAACCTGTCCAACGGGGGGGTCGGGTCGAAAAATGTCCCGATCCAAATGAGCTCATTCAACTCGTTTCGACCCATTCTTATGCAATAAAAATCTAGTCACTTATATCCGATCCATATTGCCAAAATACTTCCATATATAACAAAACATAGGATAACTCATACACAAACCGAGGTGAGAGCGTGGAGTGAGTGAGGAAGAGAGAGTCGTAGAACTGAATTAGGTCTAAGTAAGCCGTGAACCCATTCGAATTCTACCGTTCCAAAAATCATTAATAATCTATTTACCGAATATAACTAACTTATGTAAAAACTCAATTCATTAAGCACGGGTTAAGAAATTGGTCCGCCACTCGTTCCGCGACCGGTTCGACGAGAACGGCCATGATTGTCAACGAGGAGGGGGGGGAGCGACTTCGCAATTTGAGGGAAACATCGGGGCTGCTTCCTGGGGAGGTGGGACCCCCACGAAAGAAAAACGCGGAGAGAGGCACACGAAGATCACGTGCCCCCACCCACCCTCCCACCCTCCCGAGAAAAAACACGAATCGAATCAAATCAAATCAAATCGAAACCGCAAAAAGCAAAAGAAGTCACGATTCGCCCGTGACCGCTCCACTCCCACTCCCCTCCCAACATTTCCGGTGATCTCCAGGGAATCCCTCGCTGCCACGTCACCCCCTCGCCTCTCCCCCACCACAACGACCCGAAACCGACCCTCCCGATCTCGCCACGTGTCGGAGCGCGGGCCGTTGGCGGTGCAGCATGCGTCTCCAGCTCCTCTCTCTCTCTCTCTCCGCGTTTTCCACACGGGTCAAAATCTTCGCGTGTTGCGAAAAGCGGAGGAGAGAGAATACTGAACAGTACGAACTCTCTCTCTCTCTCTCTCGTCTTGGCGCATCGATCGTGTGAAGGAAGAATTTTGCTTCCCAAGCAAGTCTCCTTTGTAAGTACACACGTTAGGCTAGTCCGACCCCTCCCCCCCAAAAAAAAAAAAAAAAGTGCACACATTTTAATTCTTAATTTTCGCGCATCGCGCTCGTTTTCAGATTAAACGATACTTTTGGACCGGCGGTTCTCGAGATAAAAATAACGTTGTATTTGCAAATAAGGCATGTGAACGTGGGTACGCTACATACCATACGTATTTGGAAGCTCTGTTGTCCTGCATGTGATTAGAAGGGTATTAGATGCTCTCGTATCATATAGGGGCTCGGAAGAGCTTTCATCGTGAAATTACTTTCGAGTTGTATGCGGCCACGGGACGAATGCTCCCGATAGTCCTTATTGCTAACGAGCAATGTAAGGAGAAATAAATTACTCGTGTCTAGATTGATTTGCTTAAATGATATATAGCAGTGCTATGGAGGATATGTCGAATATTATTGAATCGGTGCTTGAGCTAAAATCTCGTGTCTTTGTTCCATCCGACACTAATAGGGACTAGCTCGATTTTCTTGTTCCCTCGCATTATTACTCTATGGATAGGCATGTTTCACAACATTGACATTGTGTTTTTAGATTACTCGGTTCCCACCTTATTAATTAACATTATTTTTAATCGGGACGACTTTTCCCACGATTTAACACGTTCATACCCGGTTAAAGTGCAAACCCGAAAGAGACGTGAATGTAATGTGTAGAATTTATAGCATAGTTAGCGAAAATTATGGTGCTTCTTAATGACCGGACCTGATATAATTATAAAAATCCAATCATGATACGTGAACACGAATTGCCGATCCCGATTTTGCTTCCCGATATCATTCATATGATAAAATATCTAAAAAAGAAAACAAAAAGAGGGATTTAATTTCTAGCTCCGCATGCGCTGGCCAAATGCGATTGGACGCGAAGCGAGTGCATTTCAGGCGAACGTGCTCTGAGCCGCAGGCAATCTTCTCCCCCGACCGACGGCCGTCGCTGTCACCGGCTTTTCCATGCACGCGCGCCACGTTGCGGTTGACGAAAAATTTTAGGGTAACGTGGGCTTTTTTGCCGTGCCGCTCCGATTTTTCGAGCCGAGGAGAAAAAAAAAAAAAAAAGAAGAAAAAAAGGAACGGAATAAAAGAAGGAGTAAAATGGAGAAGGCGCGTGGGGCACACCCGACCCATCACCGTCGGTATCAACATCCCCACACGCGACACGGCAGCTCCGAACGCAACCGTCGCCGGTTAACGGAAGCCTGAGGCCGAACGATGAAATTACATTATTACCCCCGGCCCTTGGGGCTCCACGCTCGCTCCTGCTTAAATCGAGCTCTATCCAACATTGAATTTTCTATTCAAGCTCGACTGGAATTTAATTGAGCTGCAAACGAATTACAACCCGAGCTCAATTAATTTGTGTAATTTTTCCTCATGGCCAATACATGCTTGAATTGGGTGAATTTACGGATTTATCCTCCTACCTTTTTCAAACTAGCGAGTTTAAGTGAAAAGATTGATAGAAACTCGATGAGATTAGCAAGCCTCTCGTGTTTAATCTCATTGAATTGTGTATTGACGAGCTTGAACTCAAGCTTCATAAGAAACCCAAGTACCTCAAACTCGTGACGCGACTCCAAATCAGGCAAGCGATCTCGAACAGTCATCGAGTCCTGTTCGAGCAACTCGCAGATAATCTTACTTAATTCCACCCCTATAATTTTCCTAAATCATCCATCTTCCACTAAACAAAACACACCCTCGAACGAATTCCACGGCATCGAACTTTTGAAAACGGTCAAGTCATCTATAAAAAAAAAAAAGGAAATTTAAATATTGGGCTATAAAAAATGGAATCGTACAAAATTCAAAAAGTGGAGGAAAGCCGAGCGCAGGACGACTAAAAAAAGCCATTCAGAACAGAAAATTCAAAAGGGGCTGCGCATCGCAATTCGCAATTCGCAATTCGCATTCGCACCAAATTCAAAAGGGCAGTTTCGTAAATTCGGCCGCGGACGGCGTTAGCTCGGAGGACGGGACGGGACGGGAGAAAAAGGACCACGTGTTTTGCAATTCGTACAAAAAAAAAAGCACGAACACGCACCCCCCAACCCCCCAACGAAGACCAGACATTAAAAACATCAAACCCGCAAAAAAAAAATAGGAAAAAAAAACGTATTTCCAGAAAAAACCCAATTAAGAAAAGGCGACCTAGACAAAAAACAAACAAAGCACTAGAAAGGAGACCTCGGAAGCTACTAGGAAAAGGAACCCTGTCCTTCCCCCCACTCCCACACCCAACCAAAAAACGAATAAAAATAATAATTTAATTCAATTTAATTTAATTTAAATAATAATAATAATAAAAAAGGAAAAAAGCCTCCCACATATACCTCGTGCTGCTTACTACTCAACCAACCAACCAACACTCTCTCTCTCCTCCTCCTCCTCCAATAAATCACGTCCTTTAACTTCCCCTCCCCTCTCTCCTTCTCTCAGAGCATCACAGGAAAGACAACTGCTCCCTTGAACGCCCCACGCTTCCTCCCCCCCACCCCACGAAGGACGCGACTTTTTTCCCTCGTTCTCCGTTCTGGGGTGTTTACGTCCGGCGCCGTGCGCTGTTGTTCTCGGGGTTTCTCGTCGGATTTTGGGTAGGGACAAGATATGTCGTCGGCGACCTCGTCGGAGCTCTCGGATCCCGGCAGGCTCGCCGGGGGCCGGAACCCTTCCCCGTCGCCGGAGAAGCCCGCCCCCGCCGCCGCCGCCATCAACTTCTCCCAGACGTGCAGCTTGCTCAGCCAGTACCTGAAGGAGAAGGGCACTCTCGGCGATCTCACCCTCGGTACGCGCGCGACTCTATTTTACCAAGTTATCATCTGCGCGTCTGTTTCGACGTTGTGTGGAAATGATGGTGTTTTTATATTCCCTCGTGGGAAACAGATCGCAAAATGGGGTTTTGGGCTTTGAATTCCGAGCCATCTCCTTCGCTTTCTCGTTCTGTGTTCATGAGTCTTTCCGGCCTGCGAAAAGTTATCGTTCTCTCTCTCTCTCTCTCTCTCTCTCTCTCTCTGTGGCGTTCGCGTCGAGTGCGTCGTGCGCGGTGGAGGGGTTGCTTGCGAATGTTGGGCGCTGGTGGGTAAATTTTGATCAATGCGATGCGGTGATGATTTCTCCGTGGGGTCGGTTTAATGATTCAACACCCCTCTCCGACAAACACTCGCGGCTTTGAATTTGCCCTCCGCTGGTTTAGGCAACGTGAAGAAAGTGCCTGAGCGTATTCGTTTCTGTTGAGATTATCTCTCTTCTGTTGGCTGGAGAACCGGGCCTTGGGTTTTGCTTCTATATTTGCTCTTCCAAGATCATCGCTAGCGCTCCAAGCATGCTATATAAATTTGGCCTTGGAAGAGGTTTATGAAGCTGTTTATAGGATAAGGTTTTGTGGAGAGAGAGAGAGAGATGAATTATTTTATGATGTATCGACATTACTATGCAGGCGCGCCCGAGATGTTCCGTCGGGCTGCCGCGGCGAACCCGATGAGTTTCGCGGCGCCTCGGCCGGTGAAGTCCATGGATCTGTTCCCTCAGCAAGCCGGGTTCGGCTCCGCCAAGGGAGATGCCGCCGCGAAAGTTGCTGCTGCTGCTGCTGATTCGATGTAAGCTCGCGATTTGCCCTTCTTTTAGCGATGTTTTCTCTCGTAGGAACACGATATGATTGTTAAAAATGGAATTAACATGATGATGAAGTGATGTAGACGACAAGTTACTGTTGCTAAATTTGTGATCTCTTGTTGAAGAAGCTTATCCTCGAATGAAACTAATGATTAGTTTATTTAAAGTAAAGCAATAAAGAGCTTATCCATGTTTGAGCCATATCGACATTCCTTCCTTCAAGCGAAATGCAAAGTCTCTTCCTTAAATCGTGTAGGGACATGCGTAGATATTTGTCGAGCCTATCATTCGATTTATCGAAAGTATCGTGTTTTTATTATATAGATGATTCTCAAAGTTTTGTTCGTGGTTTTACAGCGGGGCCAAATCTGCTACTAAGGAGCCAGAAACTGCACAGATGACCATTTTCTATGCTGGACAAGTCATCGTGTTCAATGATTTCCCGGCCGATAAGGCGAAAGAGGTCATGCTCATGGCAAGCAAGGGAAGCCCGCACAATTACACCCCGCCGGGCACTCCCACTCTGTCCCCCGCGAAGAATGCCTATGCCCCTGAAACAGTAAAGAGTCGGGTCGATCCGGGCCCGAGCCGTGGTCTCCCCCCACATCATCCGGTTAATAACATGATCCAAGTGTGCATCCCCGGCCTCCCTGAGCCAACAGGTTCGGGTAATGATCTTATATACTGTTATCTGTCGATTATGGAAAGAACGACGAATCCTTATCGAGCCTTTTGCTGATGTTTCATTTCCCCGTAAATTGCAGATCTGCCTATCGCCCGGAGAAACTCGCTCCACCGCTTCCTGGAGAAGAGAAAAGATAGGTACGCATTCCGGTACACAATCCGAACATCGCGATCTTCGATGCGTCGTTTTCCATCTTCAAATCGGTTGATAATCTTGTCTTTCTGGTTGCATTTTTCACAGGATTACAGCAAGAGCACCGTACCCAATAGCCGGCTCAGCTGCAACCCCTTCCAAGCCTGCTGAGAGCAAGTCATGGCTCACTTTAGCTGCTCAATCGCAGTAGTTTTGAGCATTTTCTTTTTATTATTATTATTAGTTATTAATCTTAGCAATTATTAAGTTTTGTTAATGATGATTTCCTTAGCTCCAGACTCCAGCGCCCTTCTTGTTCTTTCAGCTTTGGCTCCACTGACCATTGAGCCAGGCAAAGCTGATTAGGCCTAACTGTCCATTAAATTCTACCATTATTTTGTATTTAACTGCAGCATCCCTCTTTCAATTACTACAATTATTATTAAAGCTACGTCAATGTAACTATATTTCTACTTTGCAGTTCTCTTTTTCTGCTTGCTTTCATTTGCGCCAAGTTTCTTTTTACGTTCAATCGCAACGTAACGTGGTGAACTCGACCAATCAAAAGAGTCGCGCTTTTTGTGACACGAAGGACCACTAAGGGATGTCTTGATACGAATAACGTCACGTTCGAATCGACGCGATGAGCGCCTACACGTGGGGCACGCTTGACTGCCAAATGAGAATCAAGTGTATTATTATTCGCGAAGACACCGAATCCGTCGATTGGAAAACCCTAGGAAAAGCATACGCGTCTTTGAAAGTTGAGCACGCGGGGGGGGGGGGCCTGTCCATTTCAAGAACATATGATAATGAAATACAAATTTAGGGCAGACAGATATCTCTATGGTCCATAAATTAAGAGGGCGAGGTCAATAAGTAGGAGGAGATTAGGTGCCCTAAAGAGCAGGGATGGAATAAAATAAACCCGACCCATTTTCGAGAATCATTTCAAATTAGGGCACATGGTTCACGTCTCTGTCCCTTTCTTGGTATGAATTGAAAAGAATCCATATCTTTCCAGGACAGGCATCGATTGGGTGTGTGTAGGGTTGGACAGACAGACCCCTTTTGGGGATAGGCATCGCATGCCATGTTTTAAATGGGTGTGGTAGGGTCGACCCCGATTTGACCCGATCCATCTCTATCTCGTGACTTGTGAAATGAAATGCAGTGCATGTGTCCTTTTTCCGTTTTTTTTTTTTTTTAAAGGAATGTGGGGTGCTCCTTCTTTTCTTTTATATCTTCTTGGTGGGGGTAACCAATGCTGACCCAGATAGGGCCTCTATCGGTTTCTGGTGGAAGAAGCCTTGTTTTTGGTTTGATTTGATTAGTCAATCTTTGGGGGACAGGGTAGTATAGAGCATGATTTGGGTTTGGTTAGCAGAGTCCTAGTGGGTTTTGCTATTTGAATGCCTCGCTTTGTTCTTTACATCAATTGGAATGGCTTCTCCTGTTTGAGGAGCAAATGCATGTTGTTCTCCCTATGCTTCTTTTCGTGGGGCGTAGCGCGTGCACAGGGTATAGCATCGATTGAATCGAGAGGTGGGTATGATTTTTGGTGGGTATGATTCCTTCGGGACAAAGAAAAGGAAAATAAATAACCGTTGAATTTTAGAATTTCGATGATGATTTGTCTTTGATAAAATGCGTGACATATCACGCGGCGATACCGCCAAAAAAGTAAATAAGAATGCCGCCAAAAAAGTAAATAAGAAAACTGTCGGACTCTTTAAGTTTTTTTTTGCGATCGTGGAGGTTTAATCATGGACTTGACGAATCACGTTATTATAAAATATGGAAAAACGATCTTTTTTGATGTGATGCCACTTGTTAATCAAACTGGTAACTTGTGATTCATCATTTCTTCTGCTCAAAAGCAAGCTGATGCATGCAGTAAAATCTCAATACGATCGCAAAAGTAAAGCTGGCCTATCCAGCCGCCCATGTTTTCCACGTGTGTTAATGTCTCTCGAGATTTTTCAACCTTACTTTAGTCGTTTTTTCTTCCTCGTGAATGATCATTATGCTTTACTTGAAGAACAAAATGATCATTTTGCTTTCTTCCAAGTTAGAAGGCGGCTTACGCTAACCCTGCCAAGTTAATTACAATCACACCAACCTCAGTCACTAAAGAAGATTGGTGTCGAATTCATCGTCAAAAGCAAGCTTCGTTCAGTAGTCATCAAGACAAATGAAAAGGTGATAAAGAAGCTTCGTTGTCGGAAGACTTGCGTAGGTTCATCAAGTAAAACTATGGGCGAGCAACCGGGCTGGTTCATGCTGTAATTTATGATGAGTTAATGGATCAATGAGAGTCAGCTGAACGAGATACGTCTCTTTAATTCATGTATTTCTTGAATTCATGTATATTTCGAGTTTATATATCTCTTGATTTCAAGTATTTACTTGGTACATGACTTTTCAAACTCTATAAATTGATTTGAACTATTCTTTATTCAAGGAAGAACGACAAGAACAAAAACCCCGTATCACTTCACTTCAATTTTTTTTTTAGTGTGCCGGTTTCGAAAAGTGTTTAACAGATTCCTATTTACATAGTGCTTACTCAAAACGGGTTCGAGGTGTTGTATCTTAGGTGGCATATTGCGTGAAGCTAGTTAACGCCGTTAGAAGGAATTGATAGCCTTAAAGAGATTTAGTTAGTGGTACCTCACCTCCTGTTTATTTTTGTTACAATTTTATGGCAATTTTGATAGTCTATATTTTTGGTAACATTAGTGTGCTCTTCACTTGTTGAGAAGATTTATTCAATATTGGTCATTATTAAAAATGTTACTGCTTTCTCGGAGTTATTATTTTTCTGGTTATAACAAATAGTGTTATGTATATTTCTTCCAATACGTACATTCTTTTTTTTTTTCCAATAGTTCAACCAAAAAATCGAATTGAACCGGCCTTACCCGACCGACTCTAGACCAGTTCACACGGGGATTGGTTCGGTACCCAAGTAAAAAATTTGAGGAACCTATCTTGAGCGATTCAGTTCCTAGTTTTATACTGAGAACCATCAGTGGAAGGCGGGTTTTGATTTGAATTTTAAATCTCTTGAGCACTTTCTCATTTCTCACTTTATTATTTGGTTTTATGTTGATCTGTTTTATGGGGAATTTTATATTACGACTTACAAAATAAATATGCTTGGTCGATCTTGGAACCGGCTAGTTCAATTTCAGGCCGATTCGAGAGGGAACCGGTTTAGTTCTCGATTTCAAAACAGTGAACCAATTCTGACAGTTAAGGAACTTACCAATTCTGAAACCAATTATCCTTAAGTAAAACATGGTAAAGTATGAAGCTAGTCCACATCTTTGATCTTAAAAAGTTAAATTGGCAATAATAATGGAAAAGGAAAAATTGCTTTTGCCAAAAAAAAGAAATAATTGGACAATTAACGAAGAACATAAAAGGAATTGAGAGATTATGGCTTTCAAAAGTTAAACCCTTAAACTTATAATTTAAGTGATACAAGCGATTATTTATAGGTAACTATTTTCCAAATCATTTATTTCCGAAAAGCAAACGGAAACATAACAAATACAAATAGAGTTACAAGCACGACGGTCAAATGTAAGGAGGTAAAATAAGGTAATTATTTGATGACACTAGATAACGGGGTGATGACAAGCTAAATAACATTAACAGAGCAAGTCTTTCGATCCATAGACATTTGAACGTATGATGTCCCGGGCGCAGCGATGAGACGAATCATAATCCGAAAATGGGCAAAGTTGGGCAGGACGAAACCACCGTCGCGCCACCGTTGCCGCCGTCCCTAGCTCGGACCTTCGGCTTCCGAAATAATGACCATATAGAAATATGCAAAAGACATGAATTTTGCCAAGTTTGGGATGGGCTTCTTCATCATCATCTGAAATGTCCATTTCACACAGCCTCAAGCCCAGTCTCTCTCATATGCACATCACCAAATCACTTTTTCTATGGAAAAAAGGCCTCCATCACCAACCTCGCATTGCAATGGCAAATTTGTCACAAAGTGGGCTAAAACTTCACAAAGGCTCATCCTCTTCTTTGTTCCCAATCGGGGTGGGCAGTTTGACATGTTCTGCATTGGGGCTTTGAGGTTTTCAAATAACCACATTCTCGCAGCATCGCCCTCGGAAAGGGTTTACGCCGACTACGAATCGAGCCTAAAATCCCGCGTTTCTTGAGCCACGTGGTCGTGTGGGCCAACGATATCGACTGAGTAAGGTTTGCTTCTACTCTATAAATTTCTTCAAATGTTTAGGGCCCAGTACCCGACCGGGCTCTTGCCCAAGTCCGATATGTAAACCTGACAAAATGGGTCATAAACCAATTTCTTAACCCATATTTGATGGGTGGGTTGTTATATGGGTTAGTTGTATTCATTGAATAAATCATAAATGAGTTTAGAATAGTAAGGCTCAAAATAATATAGGTGTGGATTAGGTTTACAACTTACTTGGACTAAACCCACCTCTATAACTCTTTCTTGTCCTCACTCGATTTCGTCTCCACTCACTCCGTGCACTCACCTTAATTTGGATACGAGTTTTCTCTGATTTGGTTACTATATGTAAGCGTTTTATCAAAATTAATTGGGTCGGGTACGAATCACTAAATTTGTATTGCATAGAAATGGGTTAATTTGGGTCGGACCATTTTTAGCCCGACTCGATTCACCCGTTTGACAGGTTTACCGATCCGGACGGGTCTACTTGGACTAGGGCACTCACGTCCGGCAAATATTGACCACCTGGCCCGTATGGAAGAATTTTGCATTGATGAAACGGGCGGGCCTCTTAAGCGGGCCATGGTCCATCATCAGGGGAATTAATGGATCCCCGATGCTGCAATTCAAATTTGCTAGTTAATGCCAATCATTTCCAACAAATCAAAATCCACCTTGAACCGATTCAATCGACAGAGACGAAACCGTTTGGTTCTTGTTCACCGATGGAGCAATTTTCTTACGTAACTCGATCCAAATCATAAACATCGCCACAATATACGTCACCATCACATGAAGGCACGACGATGCACGATAAGAATTTGCGGAGACTAAGGGCGCGCATGGAATCCATTCTGGAGCAGAAATTCTGCTCCAGAATGCATTCTGGAACAGAAATGCGTTAGTTAAAATAATTTTGGAATGCATTCTGGAGCAATTTTTGCATTCTGGAATAAAAACGCGTTTGGTAAAACTTCATTCTTTTTTTTGCTCTAGAATGAATTTTTGCTTCCAGAATGAGTTTTGGCCCAAAAAGAGAAGCTACTTTTTGTAGCTTCTCTCTTCCAGAATGCATTCTAGCCCAAATTTCCTTTTTTACAAGAAATAAAAAAATTCAAAAAATGAAAAAAATCAAAAATTTCAAAATTTCACAAAATGGCTTAGAATACCTGTGGCCATCCACTTTGAGTGAAATTTAAATTTTTTTGAGGTGCCAAAAAAATCAAAAAATCAAAAATTTCAAAATTTCACAGAATGGCTTAGAATACCTGTGGTCACTCACTTTCAGTGAAATTTAAATTTTTTTAGGTGCCAAAAAAAATCAAAAAATAAAAAATCAAAAATTTTACAGAATGGTTTAGAATACTTGTGGCCACCCATTTTGAGTGAAGTTTAAATTTTTTTAGGTGAAAAAAAAAAGAAAAATAATAAAAAACTAAAAATTTTCAAAACTTCACAAAATGGCTTAAAATACCTGTGGCCACCCACTTTGAGTGAAATTTAAATTTTTTGAGGTGCCTAAAAAAATAAAAAAATAAAAAATTTCAAAACTTCACAGAATGGCTTAGAATATCTGTAACCACCCACTTTGAGTAAAATTTAAATTTTTTGAGGTGCCAAAAAAATAAAAAAAATAAAAAAATTCAAAACTTCACAAAGTGGCTTAGAATACCTGTGGCCACCCACTTTGAGTGAAATTTAAAATTTTTTAGGTGCAAAAAAAAATAAAAAAAATAAAAAATTTCAAAACTTTACAGAATGGCTTATAATACATGTGGTCACCTACTTTGAGTAAAATTTAAATTTTTTTAGGTGTAAACAAAATCAACAAATCAAAATAGATTTCTGTTCCAGAAATCAATTTCTGGAGCAGAATTAGTCATGTTTTACCAAACAGATTTCTTCTCCAGAAATCAATTTCTAGCAAGAATTCCAGAAATCAATTTCTGGCAAGAATTTGATTTCTGGAGCAGAATGGTTACCATTCGCACCCTAAAATCTCGAACACGACGTAGCCGACTCGAGAAACTCGAGCCGACATGCCTTCTCGCGCTTTCTGTTCCCGTGAAAAATAAATTTATCGCGGCCATGTCGAATTGAACTTATATTATACTGCCATGTGCACGAACAAACGTCAAGAAGAAGAATACCATTACAAATACACGAGATGTACCATCGATCTAACTTACAAAATACAAAAAATAAATAAAGAATGAAAATAAAAATAAAAAATGAAAGCCCCTATATATATGCGCTGGCACAGAGTCCACCGTTGCTTTCGCCTTTGTCTTCCTCCTCCTTCCTCTGCTTCCTGCGATTGATCTTTGCTCTTTTTTTTTTTTTCTTTTTCCCTCTCTTTTTTTCGAGGGTTTTTTCTTCTTTTTCCTTCGAATTTTCCTCCTTTTCTTCTTCTTCCCCCCGTCGTTTTTTCGTCGATTTTTCATCTTCGTCTCAGCGTCTCCTGCGACACCGAACCCCAGTGGGGGGGGGAGGTTCGATCTTTTTTGTTGTTTTTTCTTGGGTTGGGTTTTTTGCAATAGATTAGACAATCTTTGATTCGAAGATGCAGCAGCAGCAGCAGCAGAGGCTTCTGAAGCAGCAGCACGCGATGATGCAGCAGTCGCTCTACCATCACGGTCTTCTTGCTGCTCCTCAGGTGCTTTTCTTGATTTTCTTTGTTTTGGGTGTTGCTGGTTTTCGCGGCTCGTTCTTTGCTCTGATTTTGGCGTCTTCGTCGGAGCTGGGCCGATGGGTTTGCGGCTGCGATGGCGGGCGCTTTAGGGTTTGGCTTTGGCCCGAGGAATTTCTCTGTGGAATGAGTCTCTGCCAAAGTGTAATGCGCGGGGTGGGTGTGATGACTTTGGGTGTCGGTCAATCCGAGTGTTTTTGCTGTGGGAGGAGCTTCTGTATGATAGTCTGTGTTTGGTTAAATTGTCGTGTTCCTTATGGTGTTGGCCAGGAAGACTGATTCCTATGATGGGTGTTAGAATTTCTTCTTTTTGGTTTTTATTGTATTTTTAAATTCCAAAGCTTTAGAGTGGATTGAAATGCTGGTGATGTTTATCTTATAGTTTAGCAATCATTGAAGGGAATGACTAATACACCGGCTATGTAGAGCTACTCTTGTCATTTTAGTGCAAGTTGCTTTTTTTTTTTTTTTTGGGGGGGGGGAGGAGGGGGGTGGGGTTGCAATTACACTGGATATAAATGTGATATTGAGGTTAAACGTTCAAGTGGCATCTTAATTAATTCTTCATTCAGGCATGTGAGCGGGAGGCACCACTTTGCACTGGGACTTTGTGTGGTTGAGTTTATTGTTTTTTTGCCTCTTTTTATGGTTCTGAAATTTTTGACATTTGGTCTTTTAGCAGATAGAGCCTATCTTGAGCGGAAATCTACCACCTGGGTTTGACTCGGCTACATGCCGCAGCGTGTGAGTGTCTGCGTATTATGTCCTTTAGTAGCTCCTTAGCTCTTCTTTTCTGCTTGTCAGCTATTGTTTTCTCTCATTAATGTCTTTCAGCATCTTTTGGTGGCTTCCACACTTGTATGTGCCCTTAAATTGGAGGAATGATTGTGCAATGAAAACTAAGTATGGTTATGCAGTTGAAAAAGTATTCCCAAGTCATGACTTGATTAATTTTTCAGCCCAAAGTGATCTTAGAGATTCTATTTCTCACTTATCTTGCTATGATGTATTGTTAAGTCATCTTTAAATTTGCACCCTTTCATTAGTAATCTATCTGGATTTCTCATTTTCTGTCTCTTTTTACCTGATGATCTATTGCAGATATGTTGGAAACATCCACCCCCAGGTCACAGAACCCCTTCTTCAAGAGGTTTTCTCAAGCACTGGTCCTATTGAAGGATGCAAGCTTATTAGAAAAGAGAAGGTTAGTTTTTGTTTTTCCATCCCAGTGGCAACATTTGCAACTTGAGGACGTTAAGAAGCGGACTTGCATATGTTCGCTTAGGGACTACTTCAGGGGTGTTGAACCCAGTGTAGTCAAAAGCGCACAAGGCACACGCCTAGGTGCAAAAAACGAGGCGAGGCGATGGCCTTTTGCCTCTGTGATGTCTAGACGAGGTTCCCTTAACAGGGTGCATGCGCCTAAGCCATAAGCGCACGAGGCGCTCGCCTGATGCAAATTGTATGGAAACCCTAAGGAGTCTTTCTTTTGAAAGAGATTTATCCTTCTATTTCAAAAAGATAAATGGAAAAAGGGACCCCAAAAAAATTTATAGAATTATGTAATTCTTAAACCTAGAAGAAAATGGTGTTTGACTTTGTTTTCTTTTGAGTTGTATGACATTATGTTCGGTTACTTTTCACTCCATCTCTATGGCTAAGTGCACGCTTTTCTTGCACACTATCTACACTTCAGATATAGTTTATATATTAGTATGTAAAGTTTATTCTTGTTTGAGACTGTTACTGCTCAAAAGTTTTGCTTTATAGTGCCTTGCTTTGCACGGGCGTGCGCTTTACCTTCCCCTTTCATTTTAGCCGTTTTAGGGTCGCAGCACCTTAATGCGCTTTTGCCTTTGACTACACTGGTTGTACCTGGATTCGGTTGTGGAAAATTTGTGGTATGGCTAGTGGCCATTGCTTAGCTTTTGTTTTATTTATTTATTTATTGAGGAGCTTTTCACGGTTTGATTTGTTGGTAGTGGCTCATTGTATTGATTTTTGGTTTAATCGTTGTACTTTTGTAGTCATCATATGGTTTTGTGGACTACTTTGATAGAAGATCTGCTGCCCTTGCCATTGTGACTCTCAATGGAAGGCATTTGTAAGTCCAGAAAGAAATAAAGCCCACTTTATTTCTTTTCTTTTTCCTTGTATGTTGATGATTTGTTTGCAGGTTTGGACAACCAATCAAAGTCAACTGGGCGTATGCTAGTAGTCAGAGAGAGGACACATCTGGTATGTAGTATAACCAATACATCCTGTACTTTGTATGTCCATAGCATAGGACACTGCAGACGGGTAGTATGTTTCTGGCGTGCAAATGATAAGTGTGCTCTTTCAATTCAGGGCACTTTAATATATTTGTTGGTGATTTGAGCCCAGAGGTTACAGATGCGACATTGTTTGCTTGCTTCTCTGTCTATTCAAGTTGTTCGTAAGCTCTCTGCTTTGCTCCCTTATATGTTCTTTTGTATGTTTGTAATCTTTTGGTGATTTCGAATTGGAAGATATCCACATTTGTGACCTATGATTGAAAGAATGTTGTATGTATATTGATGTTACTCAACTCTTTGCAGAGATGCAAGGGTCATGTGGGATCAAAAGACTGGGCGTTCCAGAGGATTTGGTTTTGTCTCGTTTCGTAATCAGCAGGTACATAGTTCAATTTCTTTGGCATTGTTTCTTTTGCTCTACAGATATACTCCATCCTTCTTAAAATGTGTACTTTCTAACCGCGGCGTAATTTTCTGTATACATGATTTGACACCTTGTGAACAGGATGCTCAGAGTGCAATAAATGATTTGAATGGTATGTGAATTCCTTGCCAATTCTTTTATATCATTCAATTTATTTTCTGTTCTGGCTTGTGTGTAAATTTTGTGATTGTTTCGAGGATGCATTCTTTATAGGAAGAGTAATCTTTTTGTCTTCGTACGATCATGGACCCTTAAATATTTTTCTAGGCTATGTTATTCAGATATGACTTGAATTAGCATCTCTTCCCTTAATGAATTTAGTGTTAAAAATTAGTTCTGGATTTTGTAGGATAGTTGGGGGAATGAAAAATAAGTCTCTGGTTGTTCGGTATTGACATTCAATTTATTCTCGGGTGTTCACTGATGGCAAAGCATCAAGTGTATATGATTGATTTATATACTTATTATCAAAATGCCTTACCCGCTTCTTTTATTCATACAACTGGAATGGTGGAGGGAGGGATGAAGGAGCATCTTATTAATCTTTGCTTTTGACTATTATGAGTATCACTTTGGAAAGTCAAACTGATAGTCTGTATATTGTGCTATCCTATACTTACATGTGATTTCTTTGCAATCGACCCATTTTTAGTTATATGTTTCTAATTTCTATTGAAAGCAATTCATCCATTTTAATAACGCAGGAAAGTGGCTTGGAAGTCGTCAAATACGTTGTAACTGGGCGGCGAAGGGTGCTAATTCTAATGATGATAAACAGAGTGATGCCAAAAGTGTGGTTGAGCTAACAACTGGAACATCAGGTAACTTCTTTGGATGGTGTGTATAATTCTATCAATTTTATGCGATACCTTTCACAATTTTTATTCTGGGTGGATTTAGCTAATCCTGAGATCTGGATAGCTATTTTGGGATCAGTATAGTTATACAGAAGTATGATTCATTTAGAAGCCAATGGACATTGGTTGTCAATTTGTGGTGCTTAATAAGATGTTCATGATTTGGTTCTTCTGCATGGCCGGGCCAAACATTTTGTCATTCTCCCCCTCCGCCAAACCACTAGGCCTGATGCCCTTTTAAGTTTGTCATGTTACTTTCCAAGTGTGAGGTGGCAAGTCTGTTTTTTGATTTATTTTTTTCTTTTTCATTCTCCTTCCACCATGCAGATGATGGTCAAGAGAGGAATAGTGATGATGCTCCAGAGAACAATCCCCAATATACAACTGTTTATGTTGGCAATCTTGCTCCTGAGGCAAGGATTTGGTCCCTTTTTCTTAGACCATTTTAAGTTTTTTTGTCTTCTCTTTTCCCCCTCTTTTCTTACTGATCCATTGACATTAGCTACATCTTTTTCATCTTTCTCTTGCTAATCTTTTTTTGTCTTTGGATAGAAAGCATTTGCTTTTGTTTGTGGCTAAGACCACATATCGGTCTGGATTCAGTTTGCTTATGTTTAGATCAAAATTTTCTGTTAGTAGGCTTATTCATATCAATGAAGCTCATGTAGTGTAGGACAACTAACCTCATGGGGATGACAGATCTAAAGGCAGTCAAAGGTTCTAGAAACTGACCCACCGTGTTGAGTTTTGCTTTGATTTCTCGGTCCAACTTGTGCGATATTGATTTCAGTTGTATTTGCTTGCCAATTGGATGGCAATCTCATGATTTACTAGATCTGTCAAACTAAAGGGTACTAGAGCTAAATCATCTGCTTTAAAATTTTTCTTTAACCTCACATTGGTGATTTTGCAGGTTACTTCACCTGATCTGCATCGTCATTTTCATTCCCTTGGTGCTGGGGTCATAGAAGATGTGCGGGTGCAACGCGATAAAGGTTTTGGGTTTGTTAGGTACAGCACACATGCTGAAGCTGCACTGGCCATACAGATGGGAAATGCTCGCATTCTCTGTGGTAAACCAATCAAGGTATTTAGATATAAAAGTTAGCTTTAATTTTGATGTATTTCTTACTTTTCCTATCCTTAACATTTTCTGGTAGGATAAATCAACATCTCATCCCCACACTTGAACTACTAGCCCATTTCATGGGTCCAAGCCTGTTGTTATTTTACAGCTGGATAATTTGTTGAGGCCTGTCTCTTATGCCAGTCATGCATTTATGAAAAAAGTTTTGAAGACATTGAAAGATTTCAATCTTTGAAGAATAGGAGCACTGCTACGATTGAGCAGGCAAGAATTGAAGAATAGGATCTTTTTTGTCGGGGGCTGTTGAATAGGAAAAGCTAGTTTCCTTGCATGCATAAGTACATGTATCCTCTTCCTTGGTGGACCTGTCCTATTTATCATCTGCAATATCCTACTGAGTTGAATGACAACTGGACTCTACTAACGCAACTGCCTTTCTTTCCCCAATATTTCCTAATGTGACGGCCACGATGGGTATGCATGGTACTTAAGAGATGGGGACAGAGATTGGTTTGTTTGTTATTGTGCTTTGCTTATGTTGCCTAACTTCTGATTGTGGAGCAGATATACGTTGTCGCTTTGCTTGACGTTAATGATGGTTTGATTAATTGACCTCTATTCCTCGCAGTGCTCGTGGGGTAACAAACCAACTCCACCGGGAACAAGTTCCGTTCCCCTTCCACCACCGGTTGCTGCACATATACCAGGTTTTTCAGCCGCTGAACTGGCTGCTTATGAGCGACAGATGGCTCTAAGCAAGATGGCAGGCATGCAAGCCCTTATGCACCCTCAGAGTCAACACATGCTCAAACAGGCAGCCATGGGAATGGGTGCTGCTGGAGCCAGTCAGGCAATCTATGATGGCGGGTTTCCGAGTGTCGCAACGACCCAGCAGCTCATGTATTACCATTAGATTATGAAATGTGATTTTTCCCTGCTGTATAATGATCCGGAAGCAGTAATAAGTCTCGGAAGAACAAAGAAATGTTCTGCGTTTTACTTTGTTAATACCGTACTTGCTCTTTGTAGGATTCAGATTGCTTAACTTATGCTTCGCCATGGTTGGTCGACTGTTGTGATCATCGCTGCTATTAACTCTGGCTTTGGCAGTTTAAATTTATATAGTTAAAATGCGTGCAACTTCCAAGTAAACTTTTACTATGATTCGCTGTTAATTTCCAAGCTCACTTTTGAATCAAAAGTTGTTTCTCTCTTTTTGGGCTGAAGGTGGATCGAAGTTTTTGATTGCTCCGTTTGTATCCTGTCATAAATGCAATGCGTTCGGGCAGCGAATTCCAGGCAAAAACAGAGCACCTCCCTTTTCTTAAAATGTCTATTAGATCAATCGTGATTCATCACTCCAAGGAACAACATCCCAAATTGATGAACCTCGCAATGTCCATCTCTGCGTTGATGAATATTGCTTCCATACGAGCCGATGCGACTAGAGATTGTTCTTCAAATATGTCATTAAGAGAGATCAGGAGCAATTGGTGCGGAGAAGGACACCGCCATACCGCGATGTATGTACACGAGTCTCTCGATCGCCATGAACAAGAACTTGTTTCGGGTGTGTTTGAAGGAGTCAATTGTATCTAAATTTCACGTTGACTAGGTCGACTGCACCAAATTGTGAGTACTCCTGCATCAGGAGTAAAGACAAAGAAGAAAGGCTCCCGGACATGTTTGGAAAGTTTCAAGTTCACTTTATTTTCTTCCTCGGAGCCCCCTGATTTCCATTACAGAAGTTGGAGCTCTACTCTTACATCCGGGCAAAATTTCCATCCTCTCCTCTCTCGTCTTTCTTCTCAAAAGCAAAGCTAAAGATCGATCTCTCGTATAGTAGTCATTTTATGCCGTCTATATGTACGAAACTGTTGAACCATCTTCCCGGTTTCATGCACTCATGCGCCTTACGCTCTAAATTGCAACGATCCCAGTTGAGAAGATCCGGTCCTTCGTGTACGGCGAGCTCGAAAGGTCCGCCGCCTTCGACGTTTCGTTCCTGCATTTCTGCTCTTTCCGCTCGTCCATCGTTATCTGCCTCGATCTGCACTCGGTGCTGCAGAATGCTTTCTCTCCCCTGCTCATCGCGGAAACGGGAAGAAAATACACATCAATTCACCCGAACCGGAAAGACTGAAAGGATCGATACTTCATTGCCCTTGACATCAACACTAGATTGGGAAACACGATAAGAGAAACGGTGGATCTATCATCTATGGTACCTGTACATGTAGATGTCTCTGTCATGCAGCTTCTTCCCGCACAAGTGACATGCGCTGAGGAAGTCCAGCGTCTGAAAAGCCGGAACACCCGCTTCTTCACTCGCGGTCCTCCACCACGGCGCTTTCGAAACACCGTAATCACCGCCGGCGACGGCGACGGCGACGGCGGCACCATCGCGGTGAGGCCTCTCGTGCTCGCTCGGCCAATCCAGACCCCCATCGTAGTACACCTTCGTGGAGGACCTGTCGGGTCCATGACAAGTCACGTACGTGTAGCTCTCCAGCCGATCCTCCGCCTCCATGTCCTCGAACCCTCCTCCTCCTCCTCCAACAACAATCCCGGCGCACCCCTTGCCCTTCCCGACGACGGGGGCGGCGGAGGCGCGGCCGGGCAGGCCCGGGCCGCACCGCACGCAGCGGCGCCGCCCCCGGGGACGACCTCGCCGGACCGCTCGAGCGCCGCCACGATGCCGAGCCCGACCCCGCAGCCGAGGTCGTAGCCCCTCGGGCCCCTCGGCGACTGGACCTTGAAGTCCAGCGGGGTCCTCGGGCTGGCCCCCCCCGCGGCGGCGGTTGGGTCGGGCGGCGGCCCGGCCCCCCGGCCGCCGGATATCAATAGGTCCGACAGCTTCCCGATGAACGGCCTCCTGCCCAACATGACCGCCGCCGCCTCTCTTCCGGCCTCGTCAAAGGTCGGGATTTCTCAAGAATCGGAGCGACCGGGCGTGGGTGTGTTCGATGAAAGGATCTTTGATTAGAGATTTCACGTGTGCGCGCCTGCGAAGCCCTTCGGAACTTCTTTGGAGTTATATGTGAGACGTGGGAGTGGTTTGGTGGTTAGACCGAGCCCATTGGTTTTAAAAAAAAATACATTTTTTAATAAGTTTTTTTTGTAATGAATTATTATTTAAAAAATCCCGGGGATTCGGACATTATTTTTAGTAAAAGGTCGCTTGTCAGTGTGGGGCCGGGTTTTCCATAACGTCTGTGTCCAATGATTGGGACGTTGTTTAATTTTATTTTTTACCTGCTCTATTTTAACTCTCGGCTTACTCTTAAATTTTTAATTCTGTCTCGTGAAAAGCGTAAAAATCGAAATTCACATCTAAAACTATACGTTTACATCTTTAATCTCTCCTAAAAATATGAAATTCGAACTCTTCACCTTCTCTTTTCAAATAAGAAGGGTGGTCGTTAAGGTAAACTCTCGTGGTTATTTGGGACGTAATTATTAAGGGGAGGGGGATTTGACCCGGTCCGGGCGGGGGGCCCCGCAGCGAGGCGCGCGCGACACAGGAAGGGAAGATGCCAAGTGCATCGGGACCGTCCGTCCGGCCCGGGGCGGGACGCGTGGCGGGGATCCGGGAGCTGAATGATTGCCCTGAGCCACTTGAGTAGGTAGGGAGTAGGCCCCCCCTAAGCCCACTGAAACGGTGGGCCCCCTTCTTTTCCTAAGGGAGGTTGTATCGTGGGGCCCAACCTGCTTAGCTTGTGGCCACTACTGGGAGTGTTTGGCTTTCGTGATGTGATTTTCTGCTTTTTTTTGATCAATGCTAGAAGAGTCCATGGGAATGAATGAATGCTCTTTGGAACCACATGGGATGGGGTTTGGCTTGTTTTGTTTGTTCAATCTGTGATTTATTTCTTTTCCACTATTTGCAGGACTCTCTATTTGTTGGACCCCGATGCTAGTAGAAAGCCATATCTTTACGCAACTTCTGCTTTTTAATCCGTCCCGGATGGCGATCTCAGGGTATGCTGTCGCGCGGGCGATTTGATGGCGCTCGGGAGGCGCCGTGCCCTTATGATGGATATCGATCTGAACGGTCGCCGCGATGTTCCGTGGAAGCCCCGGGAGGGTACCGCCGTGCCTTCTCGGGATCGCGGAACCACCTCCATGGGTATAATGGCCGTCTCTTTCGTGTGATTATGGATGGGAATTTCGAGGGGAGGAGGGAAATTGATTTCCTCGTGCCCTTTTCGTTCCTCTTTGCTTGATTTGCATGCTCTCCACATTTTTTCCTTTTTCTTGGCCATTTTCTTATTAGGCGTGAGGGCAGGGAAAGGAGCTTTTGCCTTTTTCCCCTTTTGGGAGCATGAAAGTAAGAGCCCTTTTTACAGTCCACATGAATGAATTGGCCTTTGTTGGGATTGGAAAAGTGGAAGGGGGGAAGCTTTGGTTTTAGCTTTGGTCATTGCTCTTTGGCTTTGGACATTGAATTTGAGAGTTAGAATTGCCCTTTGTTGGGATTAGAAAAGATTAAAGGGGGAAGCTTTGATTTTAGCTTTGGTTACTGCTCTTTAGCTTATGACATCGAATTTGAGAGTTAAATGTGCGAACTTTTTCTTTTTCTCTCTTTTGAATTGAAACACGTGTATTTTAAATGAATCGATCGAATTACTCTCGATTTCAAGATTTGATTCAATATTTACCAACCTCTTCTCTCTCTCTCCCTCTCAATAAAAGAATGTCTTTTCTGAGCAAAATCGGGTTTCAAAAAATGAAAAAAATAGTGTGAAAATAACTCCGCCCCTTTGTAGAAATATGTAAAAAAAATCAGTGTTTAAGATCATTTCAGAAGAATTTTTGTAATATCTCACAAATCGAAATATCGTTTTCTATCTTGACCAAAATCGATGAAAAGACCTGCGGGAGGGAAGTGGCTTAGCTTTACACGCAAGAAGCTAAGTAGGAAGAGTAATGTTGGACATTCTAGGATTAATTTACAAAATCGATAAATCAAATGATGCGACAAATTACAAGTTGACCATCACAGATCTCGATAGGAGCATGTCATATTTCCTTGTCAATAATTTTGGCAAGCTAGTCCTCATGGTCCCAGTACTATTGCCAATACTGATCTTTGACTAGAAGAGATGTATTCATGGTGATCTCATAGACGTCAAATTCACTCTGGCTTTGATTTTAGCTCTTACGGATCAAAATCAATTATGTTTTGACAATTCATCTAATTTCAATTTGCCCCCTCTTTTTTTCCCCATTTTTTTATGTCGGGGGCGAGAAAGAAAAAGGAGCTTTCGTTTTTTCTTTTAGGAGCACGAAAGTGATGGCCCTTGTACCATCCACATGGATCGATTTGCTTTTGTCGGTATTTTAGCAGAAAGAAAAGCACAAAGCTCCATTTCCAACTCCCCAAAAAACTCGTCTTGGAGGTCACTCAACGGGAACCTTCGTCTCATCCAATTGATAATATACTTGGACAGCTTCGTGACTGCGATGATATACGAGCGTAAGCCGGAACTGCTTACCAAACGTGACTCGGCCCGCTCGGAAACGGGCTTCCGATCTCTGAAAGGATCTGCCGGAGCCGCTCGATCTCGATCGAACGGCTCTCGATCTCTCTCTACATCTCGGCCACCGTACCCACCAAAAAAAAAAAAAACGGGTGCAATTGTGATGGCGATCGAGGGGCATTTGAGTCATTTCCGTGAATTCCGAGCAGGCAATAATGTCCAAACGGAATTATTATCGAATTTGTTGCTTTCATATTGGGCCCCCTACAATTGACCAAAAATAATAACAATAATATTGGACCCCTCCTACGGCCTCAGGTTGCTATCTAACAAGTCACCGACGGAGGTCCGCTCACGTGACGCTCGACAGGTGTGGGGAATCCGACGTCTAGTCCGGGGGGGAGGGGGGGGGGGGGGGAGGTAACCCGGTGGACAAGGCAAGGCGACCCGAGGGGAAAGCTACACCCCCACGACTAGTCATGGCCACGGGCCGGTTTTGGCCCGGAACCGGCCCGGTCAAACCCGGGCCCGCGGTTCGGAACCGGAACCGGCCCGTGACCTACGGGCCCGGTTTCGGTTCCAAATTATTTTAAAAATAATAATAATAATGAATTTTTTTTTTATAAAAAATTTCATTATTTAATTTTTTTTTATAAAACAAATTGAACTCTAATTGCCATACATTGTAAGTG